TTATGGTTTATTATGGGTAAGTTAGGAGGGACTACAGCGAACAAAATTCCACTTAAAGAAGTCTGTACATGTCAATGAAATACAGATAGTAATAAATTGTTTTCTTTGTTTTCTTTAAGTAAGTAATACACAAAAAGAGAAATTGTATATAGAGTATTGTGTCATGGAATCAAATAGAAATATATGTGCACATATTTTCTCTTTTACAAATAAAAACGACTTACATATTAGCAAGTATTCTATTTTACAACATTATATAAATTAGATTCAAATTTCAGTTTAGATTTTCAATAGAGAAGGAAGAAAAAGCATAAATAATATAATACATTATTTTATTTAGATGTGTGACTAATAATATAACGTCATTTATCTACAATTATTGAATAACATGATAATTCGAATTTTACTGTTTATTTGCGTTATATTGACAATCGACAGTACGGATACTATTATTGATAAACTTCGTATTGAGCTTGAACTGAGCAAGACAGCGAAGAAGGATCCTATTATTCCTTTTCTATGTGATATTCTATTATCACAAGAATTTATTAAAGCAGCTGATGATGAAGATTTTCTTAGTTTATTACTTTATGAACTTGGTTTTGGAGTATTGGGTGTAAAGCCTAATTCTTGGGCAGCTAAATTTCGAGGTGATCCTCACAAACCAGCGTCTTGTTTTTCTGCTCTACATTCAACAGCAACGACCGAAATAACAAAGTCAACTTTGGCTAGTTCAAGAAGAATTATATCAAGATGCTGCAATTCTAATAAGGACTTGTAACTTCGTTTTTATCTTTATAGTGTTAAATGTAATAATACTCATTTTTTCAATAAATATTATCTAATTCAATAGATAAACGAAAGAAACAAAAAAATTAATTTTCATATTTCAAGAATATTCTATATTTGAAAGAATTTAGTTCTTATGAAGTACGAAATAAACTTGTAAAAAAGTAAATCACGATTTAATGATGATTCTTTGACTCATTAAATTTAGATTGAGACTTTTTCAAATGTTAAATTAGCAATTTGATATGTCTTATTTTTTGCAAAGATCAATGTTTTTCGAAAAACTGAAATAAATCATATTCATAAATAAATAATTCAATCAAACAAAATAATATTTATTTCGAACACTAAAACAACTTTATTTATTCACTAATCTTTACATATTCTACAACCGAATTTCGTTATCATAAAATTAATAATGATAGTCTATGCTAAAATGATAATTAGAGGAATAGATGTACTAGGCATAACTTTTATTTTCACACAGAATCTGATCTATGTCTTGCCATAAATATAGATTTTTATAGAAATAAGAAAGTTAAATAAAATATTCAGTTGAATTCTTAATGACAATAATGGCGGTAGCATCCACAAAAGAAGCCAACTGTTTTTTCATTAAATCCCGCCACCAATCATTTGTAATTTTTGAATTGAATCTATTTTATTCTCAATGTCATGTGAATAATATCCGTCGATCGATTTATCTTAATCCTTGCAAAGTAATTCTTCTATCTTAGTTCAGCTAAAACTCGAAAAATTCTAAAAATATAGACTGCGAATATCGATCTTCAATATGGTTCAATCAAACTTTATCAGGAACAATGATCGTATTCACATATTAAAGGATGTCACTTGCTAGAGATCCATCGAGCGAGACTGACCAACGCTAACTAAAACTCAGGTACTCGTTCTCAGTACGTGTCGAGTCAAGTTTTATTGAAAACGTTGCAGACAGATATGGTAGCGCATGTCGGTAGACACTAGAGTCTCGATCTCAATACATCCTGAATCCATTCATTTGCTAATTCTAAACAAGCAATGTTGACTCACAGTTCTTTGTTTCATATCTTCATAAGTAAGAAGTAAGCGCTAAAAAGAGATGAATAGTCAAAGATAAAATAATAGGAATAGAAAAAAACTCAAACTCAATTGATCAAATACACCAAAGACCAAACTGCTTGGATTTTATTCATGTTTATTCAGGATGATCTTCAATAACCATTTGAAAATGTTTGTTACGATTATGAATAGTGTTGTCAATAACAAAAAACAAATGAATGAGAGATATTAAATGTTCTTCTTAATATGTTTCTCGATAAAATAAATTCTCATTTACATATCGGAAAATGCTATAATACAAAATGTATCAAGTTTTATTGAAGGATAATAACAAAAAAATACATCATGATATACAAATACAATAATACTTGGTAATACTTGATGAAAGATTAGAACAGACGACGATAGATAATGAGAATCCCATTGACAAATAAAATAAATAAATTGTTAAAGAAGATAATAAGTTATAACCAGAAATAAATATCATTGCATAACCAAGCTAAAAACCATACATTAATGATTGGTAATAATTCAGATAAAAAGTAAAGTAGCACTTTAAGACCGTAACAACATACTATTGTAATAATAAAACTATTGAAATCTTAACGAATGTGAACATTCAATTGCTCATATTTGTCGAGAGGAATATTACAACTCGTCACATCTATATTAATCATATGATAGATATTCAGCAAGGAAAAATATTTCTATAAATACATTTTTTTTCTCGTAATCTAAACAATTGATTTTGTAAAAACTTATCATCAATACTGTACTGGAATACCGAACCAGTTGCTCTTTTTTCATTTAACAAATGGATCATTGAAAATATAATCGAAATACTCAAAATCAGAATTAATATTAACAGTGCATCACGGTACATTCTTATTGCTTTTTTTTAATAATTTTTAAAGATTATCAATTGAAATAAGATCAATTATATTTTGTTGGTATCAACTTTATTCGCAAGAAATTTTTTAGAGCGTTGATTAATTAATACTTATTGTCAAATAAGAATAATGTTGTTTTCATTATTCATGATATTATTCATTCAAAAGAATTAGATCAAATAATCACGAGATAAAAATATATTTTCTCATCTAATAAAAAATTGAATATAACTACAGGTTATTCCGTTTTTTCTTTTTTCTTTTTGCTAACAGCGATCAATAAACTAACGAGGGAAGAAGGAAACGCCTGTCATGCACAGCAATGTGAGTGCAGTTGGTATACATCCTCAAATGATGTAGGACAGAAACATCCTAAAGATCAATTTGTCTCCTACAAGGGAATAAAAATAACAAAATAATTCAAGTACAATGAAAGATTATCAACAGTTTCGTGTTTTTATTTTCTTCATGTTTGTGAATAGTTTGTTTTCTGTAGTCTTTCTCGTGTTCATTTCATTTATTATCATTACGAATCTTTTTCTCATTATTTGTATTCATTTATTTATTGTTATAATTTAGTCTTCACTACTCACTTATCTTTGTTGCTGATATTCATCTTGTTAACTTTTTTCTTCTTCGTATATATCTTTACTTCACTATTGAATTCTTGTTTTACTGCTACATTAAGTTAACTATTTCTTAATCTATTCACATTATTCTTATTTTTTGTCTATTATCTTGTTCAACATTTAACAAAATACATCGATGAATTCTCATTCACTTTCAAATAAATTTATCATCATTTTATCATGTGTCGCCACATAATGATGTTTAGGATTGCATTTTGTTGCATCTCATTTCTCTCCCAACTTGTATCAGAAGACATTGAATCTTCTTATATGTTCTGTCAGTCAAATTCTCGAAAAAAAACTTCAGATTTCTGGTAAAATCGCAATTGCTGTAACACATAATTAGGATCTTTCTTTTCGAGACTTTGTAGACTGAGTGAAAGGTCATGGTCGGATCCGTTCAACATAAAGCTAATCAGTATATTCTACAGAACCAAAGATGGACAATTTATTTATTTATTTATTTTAGTACCATTCCGAACAGGCTTCAGGTCTTATAGATTTATCAAACCGATGACTAGGTTTAGGAACGTTAATGAATATTCAGAAATTCACATTTCAAGCATTATATACTTCTGAATGAATTTCTGATATCTTAGGATTTACGAACTATATGATCATTATAATTCTTATTGTTCATGCTATTCTCTAATTTTCATAAGTTCTTTTTTTTTTAAATAATGCTTTCTATTTTCGAAAGTTCTTCTCGATTAATAGAAGAAATAAGAAAACCATAGATTGTAACTCCAATAAAGACATTATGCTGAAGCTTTTATTGAGAGAGAGAATCAAAAACGGTTCTGCAAAATTTTAATATCAACGGATCATCACTAAACATACTTGAACGAACTATAAGAATCATCAGAAGTCCTGGTCTTGCGTTAGCAAGAGTAATTAATAGCATTGAAAACTGTCATAAATTTCTATGATGAGCACGACCAAACCTGAAAAAATATCCACAATGGAGAACCAGGTCTTCTTATCGATCCGCCATGTCATTTATCCTCGATCTCCTATGGCGGCCACAAATACAGGAGGTCTTCAAATGTGGGAAGAGTCTTACACAATGGAATGGCGAGGAATTTACAAGAATCGATTTATTGTTTGAGCCGAATATTAGGGAACACTTCAATAAATGATATATCAGTGCATTCGTCTGTAAAGTATATCACTTTCATTATTCTCGTACTTGCACCGTGATCTCGATTTTTAATCAACATGAAAGACAAAAGTATATAAGTTCTACTTTTGGACCATTTTTCATTTTGAAGTGCTATCTATAAAAGTTAATGCAGAATTTCATGGCGAATACTTTCAGATCAATACAGGTTGCTTTAATCCTCGAAATACTGACAATTAGTTATTATTGGTTGCGCTATTTTACGTCTTTTCTTTCTATGTATCTTGTGAATGTGCAAATCATTTTGACTTTGCTTAAGGATCTCATCAGATTTTTTCCGATTAATTTCGTTAAAGAACTTCAATTAATAGTAGATATCTTTATATGAGTGATATGTTCAGCAAACGATGATGATGATGATGTCAATATGTGGGTGTGATTGCTTAGTAGTGGCAATCTAAAGCTAGGAAATGACATTGTGATTACGTTTGAGGACGTAAATGTGGACTGTGAAGGTGGATGGAAGTCAATGACAAAGGATCGACATTTGCATTTACCTACACCCTTCATACATGAATACCTTTCACATATGCGAAATGAAGGATGATTTTGATAATGATGAAGGGAAGTTTTCTGTTCGAAAAATAACTTGACAATATTAGTGGTGATTCTTCCACACTTGCCCATAACACGTAGAAATCTGCTCAATATCTTGATTTGACAAGAACAAGAGGTTACTTGCTTGGTTATTGGCTCTACAATATAAGCGAACAGTAGTCACGTCTTCTGTAGTAAAGAATTTTCTATCTCTGAGAAAGGATAAAATTTTATTGAAATTATCTTGAATAAATTTGACCTGTTGATTGTTGAGTAGAGTTACTTCAAGCATAATAAATGAATCATTCTGTTCAATACTTTGGGACGTATAAAAAGAAATATCAGAGAGTAAAAGAAAATCATTCTATTTATTGTTTCCTGCATAAATAAACCGAATTAAATGGACAATAGAAATAAATATATATCTTCACGGTTAGCTGAAAAATTTTGGATGTGATATATTTGCCATCATATAGCAGATATCCATGATTAGAAAGAATTTTCTCCACTAAAAAACATACGGAACATAAATCATTTGGTCGAAATGCTTGGCATTTATTCTGACATTCATCAAGAGACACTAAAAACAGATCTTGAGTCATTAAGGAAGAAATAAATCCATGTTATTTTTATTATAATAGAAACAAACCATTTAGACGTTAAGACTAACTTAAGCACATTGATTAACTTCATCTGT